ACCGCAGTCCGCTGATGCAAATCACTGACGGCCACTGTGCTGATCTTGCCAATGCTGGTTTTGGTCCTTCCTTGTCAGGCAGCAAGAATGATGGCCTGCGCATCAATCATCAACGGATCAAGGGCGTACTTAGGCAACACGGAAGCGCACTTCTCAGCTCTCGTTCTGCTGGGTCCAGGAGCCCAGAGACCCGTTTGCCAGGGCAAGAATTTTCGGAAGAAGAGAGCGAAACCCTAAAATATGTCAAATCAGGGTGCGGGGTTACCACAGACGTCGGAAGCCCTTTTTTGGCGCCCTTCCCATTCAACATCAGGAACGGCCGTCAGGTTGCCAATGCTGTTGCGGGCATGGTGATATTGGGAGAAAGGTCAGCTACAAGTAGCAAGAAGGGCTGCAGATCACCCTTGAGCTCAAGGAAGAAGGCTGTGGCAGATCTGATGCTGACAGAAGAGGCGGTAGCCAGTAAGAGCGAGGCACAGGACGTTAGTCAAGTGCTTGAAAGGCAGCTGAGTGAAAGGACAGCGTCAACTAGCAAAGCACCTTATAGCAGTGGACCAACAAGGAGAGGCAAGCTAGAAGGAGAAGTGACTGTGGTGAAACCAGATGGGAGGAGGGGTGATGGAGAGGCGAAAGTTGTTTCGCAGTCAGCAGCGCTGAAGAAGCTAGCAGAGGTCCATGACACACTTCTCCAGTCTGGGAAAGCAGAGGACTGTGCCAGGCTGGTGCAGTCAATGATCGAGGAGGGCCGCTGGAGTGCAAAGCAGATCGACAGGGCCCTCAAAGGCGGCCGTATTGTAAGCTCCGACACCCGCACACTTGAATATACTTGGTTGTTTGGTTGTTCGACTCTGATTTATTGAGGTTCGAAGGGACCTACTCTTGGGTTTCCAAGCAGGGTTCTTCCGAGTTGCCTTATTCCCATTCGACCACCTCTACCATCGGAGGTCTTCAACCACTCTCCGGTCACGTCTAAAGTTGTAAACCCCTCTGATTTGTTGTTTTTCAAAGGGACCTACTTGAGTTTTCAAGCAGGGCTTGTGTGAGTTGGCTTATCCCCGTTCAACCACCACTACCATCGAAGGTCTTCAGGAGCTCTGCGGTGATGTCGAGGGTTGACGAGCCTGGGCCTTCCCCTCCCAAGTTGTACTTTGTCAATCAGAAGCCTTTTGCATTTCATACAAATTGAGGTTGAGGTGGTGACATAGCTCAAGCCCAACCTGGACACACATGAAGGTTCAACATGTTGTCACAGAGACCAGTTACTCTGCCATACAAAGCATTTTTGACAAATTTCTTGAAAGCAAAAGAGACAGCCTGCCGCAACTGTCATGCAGTGCAGCGTCATTTTGAGAGCCCTTCCAGCCCCCGCTCTCAGACATGGTTCACCTCTATGTTCCAGTTGCCTACTTTTCCGTCAGCATGAATCCAGATTGCTAGGGAGCTTCGGTGTTTGCAACCTGCATTCTTGGTTTTGTCCCGCCAGCCAGTATTTCTCCAGTCATCTACAAGCACAAAGAGGGAGTGGTACCAGAGACGTCACCAGAGTCCTGAGAATATTGAGTGTCTGCATTTTCTATCTGCAGATTTTCTTCCTGGCCCTCCCCAGACAGCCAAAGCTCCTCCCCGCCGCTCTTTCCTATATCCGCCTCCTGCCAGTAGGGCCGAAAGACTACACTTGCGTAATCAATGCATGCGCCCGGGCGCGCAACGTTGATTCTGCGATCGAGGTGCTCGAGATCATGAAGGAGAGGGGTGTTGCAGCGTCGTTCTTTGACTACAGCGGAGTCATAAGCACGGCGGCCAAGGCAGGGGACTATCACCGGGCGATGGGGCTGTTCCAAAGAGCGAGAGAAGGTAAGGCAGAAAATCAAATTGCAGGCTGGATGTTAGTGCTATCGTTGGACTGGTTGATTAGGAATTGAGTTTGGTTGCCCTGTGCCGCGAAAGCTGAGATTGACCTACCTTCTGTGGTTCGAAAGACTCGTGGAGCTCTTTAGAGCCCAATCGTGCAATTTCATATGCAATGGAAAGCCAGGATCACGCCGCTGGCCTTCAGAAGAGAGGGTGTGCTTCTCAATAGAGGCCTGAGAGCCAAAAAACAGCCGTGCCTTCTGCCCCTCGCTTTTTAATCGGACTCTCTTCTTCGGTTTCCCTCAAAGCTTGAGATCCATATAGAGTAGATCCAAAGTAACCCGAAGGACAGGTGACCTTTCTCGATACTGGTCTGAAAAGGATTACGACTACGGCTGTTCATCTTTAAATGTTGCAATTGTGACTTAGGGAGATCTGTTGAGCAAATGCCGTCTTCCTTCTTCCGCAGAGGGCGTGACGGACGTCTCGCTGTGGAACGCACTCCTGGAGGCGTGCAAGGAGTCGGGGCAGTTCCAGCGGGGCTACGAGCTCTTTGAAGAGATGCAAGCGAGCGGGGAGACGGCGAACCTGACGACGTTCAACACGATGGTCAGCCTGGCTGCCAAGGGGGGCGATGTAAGCACTGCTCTCCTGAGAGTGTTCAGACAGTCGAACCCGCGTTCTCTATCCAGATAAGTTTTGTGGCTTTCATCATGGAATATAGGTCCTCAGGACGATGACCATTTAGCGGTAAATTACGAGCACGTTTACTCAAGTAATTGCTCGCTGCTTCTTGAGGCCTTGAACTCCACCGAGCTCTTGGAGCACTGCGCCTTGTTACCTTTTCATAAATTCAGAAGGGGCACAAGTATCTTTCGTCTCACACATACTTGTTCTTGTTCGTCCGTAGGAGGATTCGCTTGCAACCACAAGGACTTCTCCGTGTACGCAATCTTTGGCAGCTGCCGTCGTCTCAGGCTACGCTAAATGGAGCTTGGCGCCTTCTTCTTGACGGACTTCGAATTTCTCCGTTCACAGTTCCCCAAAGCCCTCGACTTCTACCACCAGCTCGTCTCCTCTGGGCTCTCCCCCGACGCCCGCACCGCCACCGTGCTCTTCTCCGCCATGGCCGCGAACCCCTGCCCTTCCGTCTCGCCCCATAGCTTATACCAAGAGCTCATAAACGCCGGCGTGCGGCCGGACTCGTTTATGTGGAGCGCTTTTTTCAACGCGGTACACTCGGTGCAAAAGCCTGGGGAACTCGAAGCAGCGCTGGAAGTGTATACGAAGGAGGTGAAGCCGGCCGCTGCGGCCAGGGCTTTTTCCCCGGGGGACAAGCGCTTCGTGTACTCTGCGCTGCTGAACGCGTGCGCGAAAGCGGGGAAGGTCGACTACGCCTTCGGGATTCGGAAGTAAGGACCGTTGCTCTTAGGTTTCCGGGCGACCAAATTCTTCGAGAAAGGCTGGTTGGAACTGGTCAGGCAGGGTCCTTGGGACAGCACAGATGACGAGGTTTATTGGGCGCGAAGGTGTCTATACTTCCAAATGAATGAAAAGGTTTGCCGATGCGGATGTTAATTTTGAGTAGTACTACTCTGTAGCTCGGGGTTGACTGCGAGAAAGGTCGTTGCCATCGAAGGGATAGAGTATATGGGCTTTCAGAAGAACCTTTACTCGTACCTTTCTCACGCTTTCACAACCCAGTCTCTCGTCAGAGTCCTCTATAATCATCCAGTCCCTGTCAGGATTCGAAAGATCATTCAGCAAGAAAAGCACAGTTGGCATCAACTGTGGCGTTTCGGGTCCATGGTGTGTCTAAAGGCTCACATCGACCAAAAGCGCAAAAATATTCTCAGATTCTTGCCGAGCTTTGAGCCGATTGAATGGTCCCTTAGATCCACGTGCTTCAGTAGGTACATACCGAAGCATTATTTCGGCCTGGAAAGTACCGTACCTCCCACTTGGCGGTACCACAAAGGCAACACTGGAGGCCAAATAAATGTTCGGTCAACACGCACCTAACAACCGATGCTTTCGTCCCACTCCTGCAGCGACATGATAAGATCGGGCATTTCCCCCGATGCGCATGCGTCCACGTCGCTCATCCGCGCGTGCGGCGAAGTCTTCCAAGTGCAGCGCGCGCTCGAGTACTTCGACGAGGTTTCCGCCGACCCTAGTTCCCCCGCGATGCACTACGGCCATAACCGGCCTGGGGGGCCGCTGGCAGTGCATAACGCGATTCTAGACGTGTTGGTGAAAGCGGGCGAGATGACGAAAGCGATGGAGATTCTGGAGGGCATGCGGGAGAGCGACGAGTGGAAGCCGAACCTGATTGCGTACAACACGGTGCTCATGGGATGTGCGTATAACAAGCAGGTGAGAGGCTTTACACTGTGCATGGCTCGGGAGATTGGTGCTACGGCAGGTGCGACTGTTCTGCAAGTACCACGGCGAGGCAGCCCTTGACGTCGTTGTCGGCAGGTTGTCTCTTGCATACTGCTGCCGATTAAGTACATGCTTTGTCATTCATCAAGAAGTGGCCTCACCTGCCTGGAGATATTGAGCGTACCACTTATTAAGCAGCTCCAGAAGCAATGTCTTGTCCGTAATCGAACCGGCAGACCTTCCACCCATCGCGATAGGTTCTATGAGGCCCGTCACAGAATTTCTGCTGTTGTATTCTGGACCTATCCTCGTTTTGTAAGTCATTGTCTGCAGATGACCTACGCCCCCTTACTCCTCAGGCAGCTCCATAAACAGGGCCTCGTTCTCGACAATCGCGTCTTCGCGTGGTTCGCGGGTACCCGGCTTTTTGGACTCTTCAGGACGCTTTCAGCCTCTCCCTCTGTTTTTTCCTCGCTAAAACCAGGGGCCTCCCGCTCCTATAGATGAGGGCCTTCCTAGTTTACAAACAGCTCCAACAGGGCGTCGCCTCCAACTAACACACCTCCGCGCGCTCTGCTTTAGCAATCATGTATCCAGCTTCCGAGGCTATTGCTGCCTCTCTATTCTAATATTACCACGCTGAAAACAGGGCCTTCTATTTTTACAGATGATGCGCGCCTTTCTAG